TGTCTTTTTCAATCTCTTTTAATTATACCTCATAATTTTCAATATACAGGTCTTTTTCATCCTTTGTTAAGCTTATTCCTTGGTATTGTTATTTTTGTTGCAATTACAAAAGGAATTGTTTTTTTACTTCTGAAATTTTATTGTTACTATATAGAAACCTGGCAAAGAGAAGAGGAACAAAAAAGAAAAGTACAGACGAATATCTCTGATGAAGAGAGGCGCAAAACTCCTAAACAAAATACTAGCAAATTGAATACAACAATACATTAAGAAATTATACATCATGATCAAGTGTGGTTCATTCTAGGAGTACACGGATGGTTCAACATATGCAAATCAATCAATATAGTACAGTGCATTAACCAAACAAATGATAAAAATAATATGATCTTATCAATAGATGTAGAAAAAGCATTTGATAAGATATAACATCTATTTATGATTAAAATACTCAATAAAATGGGTATGAAAGGAAAGTACGTCAACTTAATAAAGGCCATATAAGACAAACCCTCATCTAATACACTCAATGGTGAAAAACTGAGAGCTTTTCCTGTAAAATCAGGAACAAGACAAAGATGTCCACTCTCACTGCTCTTATTCAGCATAGTTCTGGAAGTCCTAGCCCTGCTCTGGAAGAGCAATGAGACAAGAGTGAGAAATAAAAAGCATCCAACTTGGGAATGAGGAAGTAAAAGTGTCATGTCACGCAGATGATGTGAGTCTATACATTCAAAATTCTATATGTGTAATAAAATTCCATTGTATATATGCACCAAATCTTCTTTATCCGATCACCTGTTCATAGACACTTAGGTTGCTTCAGTATCTTGGTTACTGTACACGAAGTGTCCTTTTTTTGGTCACTTGTTATAGTCTTTGTTTTAAAGTATGTTTTGTTTGATACAAGTATTGCTACAACAGTTTTTTTCTAATTTTCATTTGTATGAAATACCTTTTTCTATCCCTGTACTTTCAGTTTGTGTGTGTCTTTCAATCTGAAATGGGTCAACATATGAATGAGTCTTGTTCTCTTATCCATTCAGAAACCTATGTCTTTTCATTGGAGCATTCACTCCATTTGCATTTAAGGTAATTATTGATAGGTATATAGTTATTGCCATTTTATTTTTAATATTTTAATCTTTTCTCTTCCTTCTTCTTCTTCTTAAAGAAGTCTCTTTGCTATTTCTTGTAATACTGGTTTGGTGGCAATGAACTCCTTTAACATTTTCTTTTCTGGGAAACTTTTTATTTCTCTTTTGATTCTAGATGATAGCCTGGCTGGGTAGAGTGATCTTGGTGGTAGGTCCTTGCTTTTTATTGCTTTGAATATTTTAAGCCAATCCCTTCTGGCCTTCAAAGTTTCTGTTGAGAAATCTGCTGATAGTCTTACAGGAGCTCCCTTGTGTGTGACTAAAAGTCTCCACCTTTTCTACCAGTCTTGATGGGCCTTCTTTTTAATATCCGTATAGGAATTCAGTTCAGTTTGTCTTCATGTATTTCTCAAGGGCAGTTGTCCTATAATTTAGTTGTAATACTAATCTGGTTGTGGGTGGAGGGGAGCATTGATTTGACCTAAGCCACCATCTAGACTGGAAGCCCACTCTCTGGTGATTCTTTAGCTCACCACATTGTGAGAAGCCCTCCCTTTGTGCTAATTATTCTCTTAACATTTCATGCATCGTCACCATTTCTTTAATTGTATCAGAAAGAATTTTATTATATCTATCTTCAACTTACATAATAAGTTAGCTGCTTGAAGAATTCAACAACAATTTCAGCAAATATTCTAGGATCTATATCATATGTAAGCCACAGATCAATACTTTCTAGACCTGAAAAAGATAAGAAAAGGTAAATACCCTACCTTCGTCTCTTTCTTAAATGCTTCCATGTAGGACATTATCCATGGTCAACACCAAGGGTAAAACTGAAGGAGTGTCTTGCTTTTTATACATTGTGTTGCTATTGTTTATAAACAGCATTTATGTCCTCTTGCACAAAGTTTAGTAGAGAAAGTTTTCTTTTTGGCTCTTATGTTAGAATGCTGTGCCCTGTATGTGAACAATATCTATGCAGAATCATGTCTCTCTCTATATTATATATACATACCTATGCACATATCTTTATATATGAATCTACATATACACTACTTATATCATAATATATTCTCCTGCGTCAGGGGCTGTATCCCAATAACAGTAGTTCAATTTTCTTAAATTTCCACTGCTGTGTAGTGCCTGTGGGGTTAATGGTAGACCTGGCCCACATTCCTGTCACTTGCTCTGATGGTTCTAAGCTGGCCTCGGGAGCCGGGCAGACAAACCCCACGGAGCTCTGTCAGTACAGGCCCCTGTCCCTGCCACGTGAACTGCAGGTGGGATGTTGGCTGCAGGGGGTCTGTCTCCCTTTCCCCCCCGGCTGGATTCTCAGGCTTCAAGAGAAGGTCACACTGTCTGCTCTATGGAAACATAGCCCTGTGTGGCCAAAATCTTTCACTAAATGTGACTTCCCGCTGACTGAGGAAACAGGGAGCAGGACCAGCTTGGTGCCTCTTGTCATCTCATCAACAGGCTGTTCTGTGTTCCATCTTGCCCATGGCCTACAAAGAATATCGGTCTGTGTGTATGCACGTGGGGAGAAGGGCTGGAATCAGACGGAGCGTGGGTCCCAGGTGACACACCATAAGCCACTGAAGCTGGAGAGGGGGTGGAGTCCCTCACAGCAAAGTGGCTGTGGCTGTTGTCCCTTATCACCCTTTCCTTATAGCCTGTGGGGAAGTGAAACTAAACATTCCCTTGGAACTGAAGAACTTAAAAACTCAGAAATGCTAGGTCCCCAAATGATTGTGATTTTCAAAAATGTTGAGTTAAATAATATTTGTATAGCACTTTGCAATTCACAAAGTGCTTTTCACTTACATAATTTTAAGTAACATAATCCGCAAACACTCCAATGTGGTTTTATTTCAAAGGAGGAAATCGGAGTTTCTGTTAACCCAACAAGATACAGTGCCCAATGAGAGCTTTAAGGGTCTGTAGAATTACTAGTTCAAAAAACCTTGTTCTCGCTTAATACAGTCAGTTTCAAGTAGCACTTGATCTGTCATTTTCTTACGATACTTACTGCTGATCTTGCATATCCTTACTTGTTTACATGCCTTATCTCACTAGATTTGAAGTTCTATAAGGTGAGGTTTCTATGAGAGTTATACTTGTGTCATTCACAGTGCCAGGGGAACTGGCAGGCCTCAAATGGGCACTTACTGAATGAATGAATGAAATTAAATGAATACATTATAAACATTTTAAAGTAATCTTCTGGATTTTAATTGGATTATATGAGGAAGACCCTCAAGGGAGGAAGCTGAACTAGAGAGCCTTAAAAAAAAGAAAGACTATTTTTCAGGACCTCCTACTGCTCCACAGCATTTAGGGACTGGGGAGGCTTTCACTTTGTAACTACTAAAAGGCTAGTGAATTCTTTCTGAAAAAATCGTTTAAAGTCCAGGTGTTTTATCTTTACTAACCTATAAATTGTTAACTTTCAAATACTAAACCAGCAAGAGGCCAGGGCTTGCTTGTCAATCACCCTCTCCTCTTTGTTTATACCAAGTAGCAACTTGATTTTTTTCTTTCCCTGCCCAAGGGTGATGATCAAGTAAAAGAATCACAGAAACGCATGGGGAATGGAATATGTAAATAAGAAAAATGCACACAGAACAAACTCCTTTCTTCCCAGATATTGTTTAACCAACTGCTCAGCATTGAGACAAGCTCTATAAAAGATGTATATTTGTGGGTGTGCACATTGGAAAAATAGGACCGTAAGGCCAGTGCAAACAGTATTTGTAGGTACGAAAAAATATAAAGCGAAATTTCAAGTTTGTCTTAACATTAAAAACAACACTAAGCAAACTGTATAAAATAAATATTCCCGTGGACTAGGACCAAAAATCAGCAACGCCAGCAAACTGAGACGGGGTGAGTGGAGGCGCGAATGGAAATCTATCTCTAAAGTAGAGAAAAAAATCCCCCGAACTAGCCACTTTGGCTGGGGTGGGGGCGTGACTCACATTTTTGGGATAAACTGAATAAAGGGGATTGTGTTTGTGCGAGGCGTCCATTCTGGCTCCCGACTCCCGGAGCGGCGGGGGCGCGCAGCTCTAGGCCGGCTGAGCGCAGAACCGGCCGCCGCGGGCCCGGGAGGGCGCACAGGGCGGGCGCTGATTGACCGGGCGCACGGTCAGGTGACTCCGGGCGCCACGTTCCCCGAGCCCAGCCGGCGGTGGCCGCCTGGGCCGGGCCGCGGCCGGGGCCGGGGCCAAACTGGGAGGCGAGAGAGACTGATCTCCCGAAACTAAGTTGCTGGGCTGGTGGCTGCTGGGCGCGGGCAGAGACGGGGAGCGGGAGCGCTGGAGAGGCGCGGGCCGGCGGGCCGGACCTGCTCGGCCTCCACCTCCGCGGGAGAGCGGGCCCCTGGGCGCCCGGCCGCAAGCCCGTCCCCAGGGGGGCGCCTCGGAGCCGCCCCACCCATCTTCAGCCTCCAGAGCTGCGCTCCAACAAAGGGGCAGGCCCGCGGCGGGGAGCGGGAGGAGGAGGAGGAGCCGGAGGATCGAGCCGCTCGCTCACGAAGTTGTGGAGTCGCCTGGCCTCGGAGGCGGAGAGCGGGCGGCCGCTGCCTGCCGCGGGCTTTCTCCCGCCGCGGGGCGAGGAGGAGCCTCCGGCTCCCGAAGCCGATTGGGGAATCACCCGGAGCGGTGCCCCACTTCTTTAGGGTCATTTCTGCCCACGGAAAACTCTTTAGTGTCTGGCAAACTTGGTGCCTGCGCGCCTGTTTCGGGTTTGCATTGGACTGTTTTGTTTTTGGCGGAACTATCGGGCAGGAAGATTGCACAAGTCAGGGACATTTTTAATCGGGTGTCAAAACTCCTTTTTTCTTTCAGACCTCGTCTAGGTCTCTATATTTTATTTAAAAAAAAAAAAAACGTTGCACCGCAAAACTCACGCTAGCACACTCCCCCCGCGATTACTACGACCCAAACACCCCCCGCTGGCCCGCTGGGGGAGCGGCGGCGGCTGGCTGGCGAGGCGGGCCCGCGGGCCAACGGGAGCAGGTAAGTCCAGGCGTTACGGAAGCACCGCGCCGAGTGATGAGACCACAGTCCCGGGGAACGGGGCGTGGGCTGCGGGGAGGACGGACTTCTCGGAGGCTCTTGCGCCCAGCATCTGCGTCCCGAGCTCCTTTTCAAGACTGAGGCTAAGATGTAACCAACTTTTGCGTCCAGTTTCCTTGGAACCGGAGTTCTGCTACCCCGCGGTGGGACAGAGAATGACAGAAACTTGGAAGGAGGAGGCGGTCCTCGGGATCCGTAGAGTGGCGAAAAGATCCAACAGGTTCGGGGCTGCCCCTTGGCTTCCCCTGTCCTCCTACTCGCCAGGGTGTGAGACTCGCGCATCCGTGCCTTGCGCGGTGAGGGGCACCCGGCCAGTGATCTCCAAGAGGGGACGTGGCCTCCCCAGAGGGCCTGTCACACACGCCCCAGCCCAGGAAGGCGGGGCCCCGGAGGTGTCCGCTAGGAGAGGGTGGGGAGAGGGTGGCTGTGGTCGGCGGGCAGGGGAGCAGTTCCCAGCCGTCCGCCTGGCAGGAAACGTGTTCGACCTCCGGGCCGTTGCTGTTCCCGCGGGTGGGGCTCCGAGAGGGGACCGGGCGTCCAGTCGGTGCGCGGTCCGGTGCAGTCGTTTCTTCTGCTTTTCCGGGCTCTTGGCATCTCTTGTTGCAGCTGGTAAGACAACTCGTGCCCACCCTAGGCCCGGGATGCGGGGCTCCGGTGGTCCAAGGCCACCTACAAAACCCACAAAGCACTAATTTTAGGCTGTGCGACTTTTAGAAGGCACGCTGTTAAAAGAGAATTTCCCACCAAGGCCCGGAAAGGGACTTGCTTGTTCTAGGGAAGGAGAAAACGTGTCCGACCTCCGACAGCCAGGGACCCGCAATTTATTTTAACATTAAACTGGAGAGCCTGGGGTCTAACGTGGGTCTAACGGCTCCGCCTTCTGGGATCCCGCGGGGACAGCTTCCTCTTTCCCAGCCGTCAGGTCACCTGGGTCCCAGGCCTCGCGGGCCGGTTTCCCTTGCCGCCCTCTGGAGGGTCGGTGCCACGGTTGCTGCGGCCCCAGCGCCCTGAGTTCGAGGGAGCCCTGAGCCCTCGAGTCGGGGCTGGAGCTCACGGCCTCGGACCCGGGACAGCAGCCGCATCCATTGCTCAGTCGCTTGTACGGGCCTCAGGAAGCCGGGTCGGCCCATCCGGGCTGGCTGCTGGTGGGCGTGGGGGACGCTGGCCGCCGACAGCGCTGCGGGCCAGGCTGGGGCTGGAGGAATGCGAAGCTCCTGGGCGCTTCAGCCTCCAGAGTTCCAGGCGGCGAGGGCCAAGGTTTCCAGTCGTTCAGCAACCCCCTCTACCTGTATTTACAGGGCCGATGAGACTGCTTTTTACCTCTCCTTTGGGTGTTTACGTACAATTTATTGCCCCTGTAAACAGCATTAATAACTGTAGTAGTAACCGTCCCTTGGAGCGCTTCCGAGAGTGAATGGCAGTTCTGGGCACTGGGAGGTGTCTTTTACAATGTCTCAAGCAGAGCGCTAAACGCTCGCCCCTTTGGCTCCCCTTTCAAGTTTCTCTAGCTAGGGTTTTGGTCCCCATTGTAAATGAATGAATAGTTTTTGCCGGAGGGTCGACATCCCATTTCCCTCAAAACTGTACACTGTTGAGTATATTTGCATTGTGTAATTCCCATATTACTTTAAAATTAAAACTGTTACTTTCCCTTTAAAGCCATCCCCCATCCTTTCACCCCAGATTGCTTTATGGCCACACACTCATGTCTTCAGGTCCATATGACAGCCAGGGGTGTTCCAAAGAAAATGCTGGTGGACCTAGAGTTGAGTGTGCTGGTTGCAGTGAGAAGATCTGGCTAACCTTTGCAGAGCACCCTTATCAGGGCCCAGAAACAGAGAGCAGTGGTAACGATATATAACAATTTTAAAGGGCTTAAAGCTTCTAAAGAAACACCCCATTCATTTATTCTGTTCCTTAACCAGCTGTGTGTGTGGAAGATGGACTTTCCTCCGTTTCATAGATGTGAAATGCACACAGTGATGAAACTTTGAGTCTGTCTCCTGGCAACCAAATATAAATTGCTGCTGCATTTATCGATTTAGAAGGAGGTGTCTTTTTTTGCCATATGTTACTCAACCTGGAGTCCCCTGCCATTCATGGCAGCAAGTGGCAGTTGGTGGCTATCACTGTTTCTCCCTCCTTCCCATTCTTCTCTTGTCCTCTGATCCCTGTTTCTGCTGCATCTTTGTAGTAGGTGAGGGATTTCGATGACCAGGAAGAGAAAGTTTGAGAACTTGTCTTAAGGAGAGTGGCAAGATAAAATACTGTATAATGAGGAAATATTGATGTGCAAATGAAATAAAGTCCTGTGTAAACAGTTTACTGTTTTATGGAGTCAGATAGGTTTTGGGAAGCACTGAAGCTCAGACCAGTTATGGAGAGCATTAGAAATATCTGTCAAAGGGGAATAGTCTGTTGCTTTCCAGTACAGGGAATTTTGTTGGGCAAACCTGATTTTCCATCATAAAATTTTATGTGCATTCCTCTGAACAAATTTTTCGGTTTTAAATATAATAAAATACACTTAAGAATTCAGCAAATCTTTTACAGGCATGTACCCCCAAAAGAGAACTTAATCACATACTAATCCCAAAAGTCTTAACAGTAGTAGAGTAATATCAAAAGTAAAACAAGTTGTTCATACTCATAAAATTTGGCAGATTGGTGATCCACAATCCATATATTCCTTCCTATGGGGGAGTAAAGTGTCCTCTCCACTTTAGCAATCCACCACAGTTCTCATCGGCCTCAAGCTCTTTGACATGAACCTTTTTTCTTTCTTTTTTAATGAAGAGTTTATTTCAAGCAGAGTTGAGATGACATGATAGAGTTCTTTTTTTTAAGATTTTATTTATTTATTTTTAGAGAGGGAAGGGAGGGAGAAAAAGAGAGAGAGAGAGAAACATGAATGTGCGGTTGCTGGGGGTCATGGCCTGCAACCCAGGTGTGTGCCCTGACTGGGAATCGAACCTGGGATGCTTTGGTTCACAGCCCGCACTCAATCCACTGAGCTACGCCAGCCAGGGCTGGCTACGAGCCTTTTTTCTAAGGTAATTTTGATGTCTTTATTATTATAACACATTCTTTTTGGCTGATCAGGATAAAAATATGATAACTGTTATGTGTTACATATATTTATATTATAAAATAATATACAGTGCTTCCTTGAATATTATATATCATCAAATAATATGTAAAATACTGAATGTTACATAAATATACAAAATGAAATATAAAATAATAATACCATGTAATATGTCCTTGGGTTAAAGAATTGAGTTGTCTAATCCTAGCTAGCAGTAAACTCTGGTTCTGATATATGTTGTAACGTGTAAATTAATATCCATTATTCACAGATTAATATTTGGATGTGTTGACCATTATATTCCCAATTACATGGTTTACTTATTTAATTGCCCTTTGGGGTCTGCTCTAGGGGCTCTTAGCACAGAGCCGTGTTCCTGATTGAATTCTGATTCTGTCTGGGCTTGGGGGCATTGTGCTCCAGGAAGCATCAGGGCAAAGCAGCACTCTGACATTCTTAAAGAAAATGTGGTGTTGCTGGATGGAATCCTCAATTCTTTAAATTCTACAAGTGCCTCTCACTAGTGGATTACTAAGATTGAAATTAGTTTGTTGAGTGATATCTATCCTCAGCAGCATTGATATGATGTACCTTCTAAACTAGAATCTGTGTCAATGATACAAAGTTCACTATTCAGATTTGTCTCTGATTCAGGCCTGAGATCAGACCTGCATATCCAACTGCCTTTTGTTAGTTCCACTTACATATTTCAGAGGCACCTCGAGCTCAGCGAGTACCCACTGCACTTATTAGTTCTTCCTTCTGCGGCGTATCCTCCAGAGCTCCCCGGCTCAGGGAGTGACTCGCCCTCTACTCAGTTGCCCACGATAAAACTGGGCAGTCATTTTGCGCCTTAGTATCCTGAACCTCTCATAGCCAACCAGTCCCCCAGTGCCATGTGCCTTCTTTATTTAACATCTAAATATCCCACATACCCACCCATTTCTTTCCATCTGCCCTTGTTTAGGCTACAGTCATTTCCTGCCTATGTACAGTTACACTAGAGAGAATAGAAAAAACTAAGCACCCCTATGCTCTTTAGTTAGGTTTCTCACTTGCCATTTTCCGATAGTTGTTTCATATGTTTTTCTCTGTCTATGCAAGTGTGTGTATTGGTACACATACACATACACAGATACAGAGGGACAGACATAGACAGATACATGGTGCTCTGAACTTAAGTTGAACATATGATAACACTTCATCGCTAAATATTTTATCGTGTGTCTTCTATAATCAAAGACATTTCCTTGCATAAGGACAAAGCCATTGTTAACCACTATTAAAGAGGTTTAGTACTGATACAATGTTATTGTCTAATCAATAGCCCAAGTTTAGATTTTTCAAATTATCCCAACATGTGTATTTTTGAAAAATTCTGAATTCAGTCCAAGATTACCTAATTAAATTCTTCTCATCCTTGAAACCTTGGCTCACATGTCGCTTCAGAAAGGCTTGTCTACTTGCCCAGGGCAGGTTACATTCCTCTGCCATGTGACCATGTTGCTCTGTGCCTCTCCTCTGTGCGTTGGTAGCGGATCTGAGACAATTCATTGTGTACTCAGTTGCGTAGTGTCTGTAAGCTTCACGATGGCAGAGGCTGTGTCCCCATTGCCCCAGTCAGTACCTCACGCACAGTAGGCGCTGAATAAGTGGTTGCTATATGTAGCTGTATATGACTATATATATGAAACAAAGTATGTATTATGTATTTTTTCAAGTCAATACTTTCTTTTTTTCTCTTCAGGTTTTGATGTCTTAAAGAAAGCAGAGAGGATTTAGTCAAGTGTTGGGATTTTACTGGAAGCCGGCGAAGATGGCCAAGTATGGAGACCACGAGGCCAGGCCAGAGGACGGGCAGAACGAATTCAGTGACATCATCAAGTCCAGATCGGGTAGGTAATGGAAGCCTAAGAAAACGAAGGCTTTTTATGCATAAACTTCTTAAAAGACATACTTTTTTTTTGGCTTGTACTGCACTGCTCTTGTGAGACAAAGTTTTTGTGAGAAATGTAAATCTGACGAAGGAATATTGTAAGAGGTGACAAGTGTCTCCGAGCGTCCCCTCGTCATTTCTCAGCCCAGCCGAATCTCATTGTGTGTTGACTGGCATTGCTTGGTGACCTCGTGGCCTGTGTTCATTTATCAGACTGACCTCTTTAAACACACAAAAATACCACTGAGCATTTTTTCCCTTTTTAGCCTGTTTTATGAGGTTGAAGGGATTATATGCTTAAAGTAGGCAGTCCCATTGTTTCTGGCAGGGTGGATCTTCTCAAGTTTCGCTTCAATGACTGAGTCCTTACCCAGATTCCTTCTGGTGGCCAGGGCGAGGCCAACAGGTGTCCTGCCTTTTGCTTTCATTTTTGAAACTTCTTATGAACCTTCTCAAGGGACATGAGGCTAAGACAGATGGACGGTTTTCAGATGAACATTTAAATTGGGGAGCTAAGGTAACCCTCCCTCCCCTAGGGTTTGTTATTTAACTGAGGGCTTTTTTTTCTACTCTCGCTGTCCAGGTAAAAGACCTGGGGAATGTTTTAAAAATGCAGATGCACTGGCTCCTCTCCAGACCCACTGAATAAAAAGTTCTATATTTTTAAAAAAACTTCAAATGTGAGTTTGAGACAGGCTCTAAGAGGAGATATTTTTGAGCAGGCTGGGCTTTTCTGAGCTTTGAAAATTACACAGAACTCCACCCTGGGTGTGAACACTATACTTAAGTAACTTTGAGAGTTACTTTCAGGTATAAAATTACAACCAGTGTCACTTTAAAATAATAAAAAAAAGAACATTATGTTAGGGGCTTATTTCTTCTTATATGGAACTGTAGCAACATACACTGAAAATAAGCTGTAAGCTAATAGACACCCACATTTCTTTTTATGATACGGATACTGGTTGATTGGTAGAAGGGGAGAGAAACATCGATTGGCTGCTTCTTGCTCACCCCCACCTGGGGACCTGGGCAGTGACCCAGGTGTGTGCCCTGATCGGGAACTGAACCGGAGACCTTTTGGTTCACAGGATTCTGCTCAATCCACTGAGCCACACCAACCAGGGCTAAAGTTCTTTTTGTTTTAAATGGTTTAATAATATAAAGTACTATGTAGGTATAAGGGGTCATGGCTATCTTTTTAAGGGGATAAAATGTGTATCCAGAACTTTGTAAATATAAAAGCGGGAAAAGAAAGTGAGACGATGTCTCATATGCATGCTGGTCATGTGCTGTAAATTGTGAGGAGTGTGGTCTTAAATAGCGTCCACTTCTGTTACAGTGAGACCTTTGATATTTAGAACTCTGCACTGTAACCACCTCCATAAAAAGTAATTATGTAAGTGTAGAAATAGTATCTGTGATGAGTGCACATGACTTCCAAAGTATTCTTTAAATAAAAATTTACCATTTCAAAAGACAACTGTCACACACTATTGTGGGCCAGTGGGCAGAAGTTATCACGTGTTTTTCAACATATGTGTATCACTTGACCCGCTAACTCGATTTTCAGAGCTGTTTCCTAGCCTAGAACACACAGAAAGGTACAAGCAAGAAGTTGATCACAGCATTTTTATAATAGAAAAAATTGGAAACACCGCAAAAATCCAATATCGAGGACTGGTTAAGTAATAATTTCCCAAAGTAAGTCAAAAGGAGCACAGGTTCTAATGTATAATTTGAAAAGGATGTTGGGGACCAGAAATTTTAGGAAATAGTTGTCCACTTACTCTGTGCAGTCAATGTAGAGCATCTGAACGTATTGTGTAGAGTCTCAATGGAGTTAATTAAATTAGGGGATTGGCATAAAGCAGCAGATTACACATCCGTAAAAGTGTTACTGATATGTGCCATGTATAAACACAGAAACGTGTTCTTGACATTAAGTAAACATGTGCAATATGAATTCAGTTACGTGAAAGTTATGTTTTCAAACAGTTTAGCAGATTGTACACTAAAATGTCAATAGTGGTTATTTTGGCATTTTGGGATTATTACTTTTCTCCTTTTTGCTCTTATGTATGTTCTAAAGTTCTTCAACGGGCCCATAATACTTAGTTTTTATTTTTAAGGACTCTCCAATTGCTTAGAGTGTTTTAATGCCAAGGCGATGACGGTTACATTTTTTTTCTTGGTGGCACCTACTTCAAAACACATTGAAAAGTTAGCTGTCGCATAGCAGAGATATGAATCACATTCTTTTGGCTGGATTATGTTGCAAAAGCCAGTAGATAAATTTGAATTTGAAAGGGCCCGTTCGTACCAATTCTTTTTGGAAGACACAGTTTTTGCTTCTTTTAAGGTAAATATTAGTATAGTGGTACTGTCTTTTGGTATGCCACAATGTACAGGTTGGAAAGGGATTCTTTTAGTTCAGATTAAGTCAAAGGGATCATCTCTGTATAATGCCTATTTTTAAAGATCCTTCTTGGACATGTTCTATGTCTGAGTTGTTGCTTTTTCAGTATTTGAAAAAAAAGTTTTCCTGTAGGAGAATTTTGATTCTAGCCTGTTCTTCTATGTTTCTTTCTTTTGAGGATTGGCTATAGGGGAGGGAGTGAACGTTAGGGTGGAGAAAAAAGTAATGCTGAGAGTAAATTGATTAATTTAATCTCCTAGTTTAAGATTTTTTCCCTCTTCCCTCCTCCCCTAACCATTAAGTTTGGAAGTCTAAAAGCGTAGCATAATAAAAATAATTGTGCATTTTACATTACATCATTGGGATTATTTATATTGCCCGCATTCAGTATTATTGGCTTTATGGTATATATGATGTTTTAATTTTTTTAATGTGATTTCCACCTTCTTAACAGAAATAGGAAATTATCAAGGATAGGTGATGAAATAGTTTCATGGATATATAACACCATACATTTCTTTATGGTTGTAACATACTTACCTTGAATTTGAGTGAACTTTAGAAAAGAACTTGAAAGAGTATGAACTTTAATGATTAAGAGCTTGGGATGGGATAAAAGACCTTTTGTTGCCTAATTTAAACACTTTAGTGAGTTCGTCATCAGTGACTTCATGTTTGACAGCTGAATTAGTGGGCTTTGAAAAGCCTAACAAGTTAGTAAATATTTTGAGAGAGTAGGCTCAGATACAGAGATGTTTGTTTGTTTGTTTTAAAGGGAAGCATATTGCCAGTGGAGTCTGTGATGTGTATATTTCTGCTTGGAACATTTTAAACATGAAATAATAAAACAGTTTGGGATGCGTATCAAGTCAAAGAATATGCTCATTGCTACTTCGTTCTGTTAATAGCTAACACATGTGAGAGCTGGTAACACAGACCAAGTGATCCTTTTCTGTTGTTCTCAGTTCTGTCCTTGAGTTTTAAGCTGGACCCCCCTCACGAGGGTAGACCTCAGGTCTAAAGACAGTGTGTGAACTGGCTGTGTGTGGGGATTTGGATAATCTGGGGATTCAGTCCTGGATTCTCAGATGGGAAAGGGTCATTGGTCGAATGAATTAGTCAGGTAAGCGCTACATTGTTGCATGATTCAGTAGGTTCTTTAAAGTACTTAGGGTCGGAAGCCAGAATATAACAATTTCACTGTTTCTTCTTTCACCTTTTCTCTTCTAGTCTAATTCTGGGAAATAATTGCTGAGGAAATTTGAGAGGCCATGTAACCCATGCCTGTGAGGTGGTTGCCCAGCCTCTGCTTGTACACCTCCAGGGGTGCGATCGCACTAGTGATGATGATGAGGGTGATCATCTGGGAATTGTCATTTACTGAGCACAGACTGTAGGCAGATGTGGTGTCAGGAGTTTCATCCTCACAACTGCTGTTTCACAGATGCCGAATGTGAGCCCCACGGAAGTACTTGACCACACTGGCCTTCCATCTCCAAAGACCCAGCTGAGCCTGTCTCAGGGCCTTTGCACATCCCTTTTGTACCTGTCTTTGTCTGGTGGACTCCTTGTTATCGTTTAGAGTTCGACTTAAATGCCATCTGTGAGAGAGCTTCCCAGACAGATCTTTAGAAAGTAGCTCTCCCAGTCACTCTTGACTGCATCACTACACTTAAGTTCCGTCTCTGTTCTTATTGCTATCTGACACTTTATTTTGTGTGTCTGTTAATGTGCTTCCCACTAGAATTTAATTCCAGAGGTGCAGGGACCAAGACATCTCTGAGACCAAGCCCGCTGCCTAACTCAGTAGGTGAGCAATGGGTGTTTATTCAATGCAAATGACTCACAGAGCAGAACGTGCCAGGCCTGGGATTAGAACTCAGGTGTTCTGACTCCAGCAACCCTGCATCTGACCACTACATAGTGTGGAGTCTCCTAATTACAAGGTAGTTTATTCTGTTGCTCTCGGATGATTCTTCTTCATTTTGTGCCTAAACCTATTGCTTACAGATTTTCACAGTATTAGTTGGAGTTATACCTGCCTCTGCCTCTTCTTTTGTGGTTACCTCTGCCTATTCCCGCCGTGACCCCAGGCTGGGAGGTGGAGCTTCCCTGGGACCTCCGAGGCATCATTGTAGCCCTGCCAAGGGAGGGCCAAATTGTTGGAGGCATGACCTGCAGCCCCCAGGCCTGCCCTGGCCTGCCCTGGCTCTGGGCTTTGTCATTCTCTGTCAGGAGTTAGCAAAGGGGAAAATACCAGAGGACAGGCAGTCCTCTGGGTGGAAGGTAGAGAAATTGATAATCTGTTTCTGACGTGAATTCCCTTTTCTCTTTTCTTCTGTCTGTTGCTCAAGGCTTTTCACTGGCTGGTGAAAAAAGGTAGTGGATTTCAGATGCCCTGCGATTTGGCAAAGTTTGAATTCTGGTCTGATGCCCAGATGGGTATCTGTGGATTAAAGGAGTTGGTAAGAGGTAGGGGGTGGGGAGGGAAGAAGAGAGGCCAGTGAAGCAAAAATAAAATGAATTATTTAAGATGAAAT